GAGAGAGAGAGAGAGAGAGAGAATATTTATTAAGATAATAATTATTACCTCGATTTCAGTCCCCATAGCTTTGTTTGTGATGTATTTCCTAAAACCATACAAAGAGTCCAAACACAGGGACGAGGACTCCGAGTGCATCACGGATGGGGCAGTCATTAATGGCTACTCTTCTATATCTAAACCAAAATTAACCCTTAAATTGTTTGACAGAAAGAAAACCCCGCAGAAAGCAATTCGAGTGCTATTTATCATGTTGTTTGCCATTTATCACACAAGTGAAATATTATTTGTCAAATTTTCGCCCACGTATTTCCAGTATACGCCCTTAAAAATGAGCGCCGAGAGTGCGGTCGAGTTGTTTGGTATAGGATGTGGTGTCTATACCGTAGGGCTGGTACTCAACATAATCTATTCGTATAGGTATTGAATATTTATTTTGCATTATATGTTTATTATTTAATGTTTGGACAGTTTTATATTTATTTATATTTATAATTTATTATTTAATTTCTAAATTAATTATTAGTTTTATCGTTTATTACTAGTATACCAATAATATGACTATACTATTTCAATTAATTTCAATTATTACAACAGGTTCCAAATTGAAACACTATTAACTGGACATGGTGCATTAATAGTAATTGGGCATATATTGCTGATATTTGCCCGAAACAATCTAACTCTAGTATATATCGCAAATTGTGTATGTGCCATGGGCATTTCGTTCATGTATGCGGGCATATTTGCTATGGCTGAACATTATATGAATATGACCGACACATTAGCCTCGATGTTTTTTCTGTTTCGCGGTGTATTTGTTCTGACCACTTCATTTGCTGTGGGCCGTGTAATTGAACATGATTCAATCCAATTTCTCTATATTGAATGGGGGTTGTTAATAATTTCTATTTTAATATTTATTTTGATCATTTTTATGATTTACAAACACACAAAAATTATAAATGATATAGACAACATTGTAAATGAAAATAGAACTAGTGACAATATTATTGAAATGAAATAATTAGATAAAATAATTTACCTACTTTGACAATTATTATTTTATTTATTAAATTTTATATTATTAATTCTATAATAATGAATTAATATGTTATATTTGTTGATTTATTAATACGTCACGTTATTTTGCGTACAATTTAGGTTTTAATATATGATTTAATTGCACTTTATCAAAATTATAAACATGCAATATGAAGCTATTGTTCAATGTTTTACCATCAATAAATTGAGAACATTATATTTTTATTGTATATTTCTAATATTAAGACACTTTTACCAAATTTATTTAATATTATTAAAGTAAGTCTTAATGATATAATCATAAAAAATTGAAAATATTTTATGTAAAATAAAATTTTTACTAAAAACCCGAGGATTTAAAATCAATTTGGTTTTAAAACTCCAAAATTGTTTGATCAAGGTAAATAAATGTTTTAGTGTCAACATTACTAGAGCAGTACTTTATATTTATTTTAAATTAATTATTTAAATAAGCATAAATATGTTTTAATATTTTTAAATTGTTTTATTAAGTATTTGTCTATTTATATTTTTTATAAGTAATAATTAATTTTGCCACAAATCAAGGGTTTATTTAATGTAATATTTATTTATTAACTTTATATTTCCATGTAATTATTTATTACATTGTGAATTTAAAAATAATTATACCCTAAAAATAATTTTAGACAATAAAAAGCTAAACATCTTAATTAAATTTTATGTATAAATTAAAATTTCTACATTGACAACCTAACATTTTAAAAATAAATAATTAAATTAAATTATCTAGGTTACTAAAAAACAACTATTTCTAACGTGTAAAATATTACAAACATATTAAAAATTTAAATTTACGATGTTAGTTGGCTTGTGTTATACTTAATTTTACTTTTTAAACCATCAATATCATTTACAATCTTTTGTATTTACAAATCATTATATTAATCACGGTAAACAATACGATAGAACTTATTATAAATCCCCATTCAATATACAAAAATATGATTGAGTCATACTCAATGTAATTGCCAATGACAAACGGAGTGACAAGGGTCAACAGGCCGTGAAATAGCAAAAACAACGAGGCCAATTTATCAGTTAAATCTATATACTGTTCGGCCATGGCCAAAATGCCCGCATACATAGCTGAAAAGCCCATGTATACAATGCAACATGGTACCCATAATAGTACGAGACTGTTTCTAGATGATATAAGTGTTATTTTCCCAGCTACAATCAACACGTAATGTACGGCTATTATAGTTTTGATTTGGAACCTATTAAAAAATTTAATTAATTATTACAAATTAGATTAAAATAATTAAAATAGCAAAACAAACAATATACAGGATAATAATAATTTGAGTTCTAAATAAGATAATTAATAAATTAAATCAATAACGTTAATAATTAAATAAAATAATTAAAACAAGTATTACTTGTATGGATAGAATATATTGAGTGCGAGTCCAGCTGTATAGACACTCATCGATATGGTGTACAACTCGGTCGCACTCTCGGCGCTCAGCCTAAGGGGCGAGTACTGGGCGTAAGTGACCAGAAATCTGCTGAATGTAATCTCGAACGTAATGTAAATGGCAAAAAACAGGCCAAACAGCACCCTCATCAGTTTACGCGGTGTCTCCTTCCTATTAAACAATTTTTGTTTCAATTTTTTCACATCATTATCGACCTCATCGGTGTTGCACTCGGAGTTTTCATCTTTGTGTTTGGGCTCTTTGTATGGCTTTAGGAAATGCATTACAAATAATTTGATCGGGACTGGAATCAAAGTACCAATTATTATAATCATGGTATTTGTGAGGAGAGAGAGAGAGAGAGAGAGAGAGAGAGAGAGAGAAAGAGAGCTTTATTACCTATCAAAATACAGGCGCCGATCAAAAGTGTAGGAATCATAAGCCGAGATCGCCTATTGATCACATCGTTTTCATCGATCACTAAATCATATTCACTATAAATGGTCTGATTTTCAGTTTCAATCTCTCCGACAACGTATGGCTTCAGCGCTACCGTCGATAGGACTGCGCCGATACCAAAGGACAGCTCAAACATTTGCATTATGGGTACTTTACTGCCCCTCCAGAGCTCAAACATCCAAACCGATGAAGTGCTCGCGTATATTGAGGTGCCAAACCCTAAAACAAACGCACAGATATACAGCACCCATAGGTATGGCGATAGGGGTATGACTGCAGCCGCGACCGTCAAGAATGCAAAGAATATAGCCATCAGTAACTGTCGGCTCATGTATTTGGTTAACAGTACGGCTTTATGTGTGTATAAAATTTGGTTCATTTTTATAAATGTTTATTAAATTAGTTATAATTATTATATTGTTTATACCAAAAGTGCCCAGAATATAGCCACATGTTTCAAACGTAGTAAAAAGTGATATCCATTTCATCGATGTGTGTAAAATATATTTCATGTCAACCATAATCGGGCCGTATATAGAGTACACCATTCCCTACAAAAATATTTTAGATTTTAATTATAAATAATTAAATTAATATATTCAAATAGATCAAAATTACATAGGCAATGCCACTTGCAAATAAAATGATGGTGTAGATATATTTATCATTTCTCCACCAGTCTCGTAGCCTTTTCACATTCATTGTTTTATTAATAAATAACCAACTTTATCAATATGAAAACTAAAACAGACTGATCCTCATGATGTTTACTTGCTTATATACATCAATTATATTGTATAATTATAAGTTATATTATATAAAATTTATATTACTAAATACTGTATATACTTATACAACTTTACTTATAACCTTTGGATACATAAATAAATAGTAAATGGAGATTACAATTAAAATTGATTCAGTTATCAACCATCTACAATTCAAGTTATAATTTGAAACTGCATTTAATAATTTATAAAATGGTGAAATTATTTTGTCTGTAACTTTTGTGGTTCCGAAGTAATCCTCACCCGAAGAGTTCAACCTTCGGAAACCCTTTGGCACTTTTACCCGACGGGAAATTGAAAATTTGATAATTTGGTCATAAATTGTATCCAATCATTTAGATCTTATACAGAAAATAACTTTCACACAAAAATTATTTAAAATAAATTTAAATTATATTGAAATAAAAATTGTTTTATAATTTGTTATTTATCAAATTTTTGTGAATTCCATTGAATAACATTAAAATAAAAGTGCCAAAAAGTTTCCGAAGGTTGACCTCTTCAGATGAGGATTACATCGGAACCACACAAGTTACAAACATAATAATTTCACCATTTTATAAATTATTAAATGCAGTTTCAAATTATAACTTGAATTGTAGATGGTTGATAACTGAATCAATTTTAATTGTAATCTCCATTTACTATTTATTTATGTATCCAAAGGTTATAAGTATACCTTATACAATTATAATGTTCTAAATAAGGACTTCTGATAATGTTGTAATAAAACATGCAATTTATTAATAGGAAAATATTTAAACAATAATTATTTATTACGTGATGATAATTATTGGCAAAACAGTGCAATTAAATCATTAACAAAGATAAATTGTACTCAAGCTAAACCTAAAATATTATTAGTTTGTTATTTCAGGGTTAATTAAAAATTTGTTATATAGTAGTAACAATTACATAAATCTATATAATAGATAATAACATTTAATTTACAGTTGATGCAATGACATTATAGGTATTTATTGTTTACTACATCATCATTAAATAATTTTATCTAGTGATGTATACTCAGTCGACGTATTTCAACACTTGTTGCCCTAACTCTATTTTTACTGGCAATAATATCCATATCCTTTATATATCTGGTTTGTTTGTAAATCATAATATTGATTATCATAAATAATACAATTGAAATTATCATGAAGGCCCATTCAATATAAAGAAATTTGATTGAATCATGCTCAATTACATTGCCCACAGCGAATGGAGTGGCCAAGGTTAGTATACCGCGAAACAGCAAAAACATCGAGGCCAATTTATTTGTCATATCCATATACTGTTCGGTCATAACCATAATGCCCGCATACATGGCCGAAAAGCCCATAAAACAAATACAATTAGCCACATATAATATAGTCAGGTTGTTTTGGGCTAAAATCAGCAGTATTTGACCAACAACAATCAACACGAAGTGACCAGATAATATTGTTCTAAGTTGAAACCTAGTTTAATTATATTAAATAAGTATATTAGTAATGATAATTACAGTAATGATAATAATAATAATACTGTATGTTAATAAATAAATCATATACATAATAATAACCATCATTGAATTAAAAACTTAAATAAATAATGTTAACAAAAAAATAACAATAATTACTTGTATGGATAAAATATATTGAGTGCAAGTCCAGCCGTATAGACACTCATCGATATGGTGTACAACTCGGTCGCACTCTCGGCGCTCAGTCTTAAAGGCAAGTATTGGAAATAAGTGGGCGAAAATTTGTTGAACGTGCTCTCAAACACACAGTATATGGCAAAAAACAGGGCAAATAATACCCTGATTCCCTGTTTTGTTTTTTGCGTGGTCTCTTTTCTATTAAACAATTTTACGGGTAATGTTAAATCAATTATAGATGTGTTGCCCTTATTGTTGGTCCCATCGGTAGTGGCCTCCGAGTCCTCGTCCTTCAATTTGGGCTCTTTGTATGGCTTTAGGAAATACATTACAACCAACGCTATGGGCACTACAATTAGGGTAAGAATTATTAGCTTAATAAAAGTGAGTGAGAGAGAGAGAGAGAGAGAGAGTCGACAAAAGTGACAGTGAAATTGTCGAGAAGTCCGTCCAATACATGTGACTCTCGCTTAAAAAATCTTCATTCATTTAAATGGTGTAATGGAAACAACAACTATAGCTATGGTTAATACAAACGGCATTCACCGCAAACGGACTGTAGTTAACGATACCGACGATGAGTTTGTGTCCAATTATTGCCAAGTGATGAAGTTTACGGGTAAGGCATTGACAATGATATTATTATTTAGCAGTTATATTTAATTTAATGTGATATTTCATGTGGATAAGTATCGATAAAAAACTATTTAATGTCTATTTTATCACTAGCTTTTAATTTAATGTCCAATTTTTAGTGTAAAAGTGCTATTTATTAATCAATATTTATGAGAAATTACTATTTTTATTATATGTTATACTTTATGTTATACTTTAATGATATAATTTATTTTTCTCTAAAATTGTTGTAATTATCTAAATATTTAATCAATAATTATTACATGTGTGTAAAAATATATTTTGATGACAAGTATGACAATTAACTTCACTTATATGCCCACATATTATGGGGGCGTCAAATTGTCAAGCTAGTTCAAGTATAATTTTTGCTAGATTATTTCTTGTGAATTTATTTTTAATATAAATTTACGTTAACTTTAAGTCTTAAAGAAAATGAAATTATTATGAAATTTAGATTTTATATAAAAATTATTGTAAGTTTAATTTTAGTTGATTTAAAAGGAAAATAATTCTAATTTAAAAATAACATTTTGTAATACAATATAATTTTATGTTAAAATTTAATTCATTTGGCATCGAAAGTTAATCTCAAAATTATAACATTTTACTGGAGAGAGAGAGAGAGAGAGAGAGAGAGAGAGNAGAGAGAGAGAGAGAGAGAGAGAGAGAGAGAGCAAAATTGTTGATAATTTCTAAGAAATCTCTTATAAAATTCTGAACATAATCTGATTTATTATTTAAATCATACTATTATTGAATTAACTATAATAGTACAGTAAAACCCCGATTAATAATTCATTGTTATATTTACAACATATAAATTTCAACTATCATTGAAATCGATGGCGCGTTGAATACACTCTGAAGACACGAAAGGCAACACAAAAGAGATGTATTTCCCGAAGAGTCTGGACCTGGAGAGGCCTAAGAGGTCGCGAACCAACTTTACGTTAAGACAATTGCGAGAATTGGAGAAATGTTTTGCCAAAAATCAATATTTGGTGGGAAAAGAGCGCAAATCTCTATCTAAACAACTGGATCTCTCAGAAGCACAGGTATGTCATGTCTGGGAGAGAGGGATATGAGAGAGGGAGAGAGAGAGAGAGAGAGAGAGAGACCCTGATTAAAATTCACACTATGATTGACAGCTAAAATCCACTAATTAGATGTGTATGAAGTAATGCATAGACTTATTATGTAATGCTTATTATGTGTAATATTAGTTAAAAATGAGTGAAAATATTTTTTCTTGAATAATATTTCTGTGCGAAAAGACTTTTGGAAATAAAAAGCAATAATAAATGTTTGAAATAAATTTGTTAATTGTGTTCAACGAAAAAAATAGTTGTCTCTCAAAGCAAAAGCCGAAACGAGATTCATATCGATAAGAGTCTGTGAGGGGAGAGATCTTAAGCATAGTTTGTGTAGATTTTTGAAATCAATTATATTCTTGGGTTTTGAAAGATCTGATGACAACTTTATTTATAAATAATATGTATTTCTTATACACATTATTAGCGGAGAGAGAGAGAGAGAGAGAGAGAGAGAGAGACTTATGAAAAAAGATGAGATGATAATTATTTTCTTCACGGCTCTAATTATAATCATTTTCAGTGATTAGATAATTATATTACACACGAAAAACCAGATTTGAGTTATTTTTTGTGCAATTTTTTAATTCTCATTCACAGCAAAAAACTTCATCCAATTTATACTAAACGACACAAATTTATTCACAAAAAACAAATTAAATAAAAAACTTTATTTTCTTCTCATTCTTCGAGATTACAGATTAAGATTTGGTACCAAAACAGGCGAACAAAGCACAAGAAGGAACAGTTCAGACAGCGGGAGAGACAGGCGGCCAACGCCGAGGCCATCGCCACCACTAATATCATGAACTTATTGCAGAGACGGACACCACCGGTGCCGCCACCGCCTCCGCCCCCACCGCCGATGGTGTCACCAGCGCTTGATTCCCAACACAACCATATCTATCATCACCAGACCAGTAGATCAGTTGATAAGCAAAGACTATTGGCCACCAATGATGATGTGCTAAACGCTCGCACAATAGCCAACACCAGCGCTAATGCCGTGTCGTTTAATCCCTGTCTTAATGGCACCGCCAGTAATCATATCATCAAATCGATGGCTAATAATAATCCATTTCTCTATAATAATAGCCATTGGAATGACACTAATTATTTAAGTCCATTATATTTCACATCTGCCTCCTCTTCAGCGGATCACTTATAATACATCCAATGCTTGTATAACACCAACGATGACAACACCACTCACTGTCTCTCCATTACATCAATAATTGATTGAAATTAATTACATTAAATGTTGTGAAAAACTTTTTGTTGTGTTTTGTCTTTCCTCTCATCGATTGTCTGCTGACGTGTTGTCGTTGTTGTGGCGAAGAATCAATTCTTCACTACATATTACACTTCACTTAACTCTCTCTCTCTCTGCTAATAATGTGTATAAGAAATACATATTATTTATAAATAAAGTTGTCATCAGATCTTTCAAAACCCAAGAATATAATTGATTTCAAAAAATCTACACAAACTATGCTTAAGATCTCTCCCCTCACAGACTCTTATCGATATGAATCTCGTTTC